GAGGTGACATAGAGGCTACGGCATCTTCCAAGACAGCCAGGGGATGACATGGGCCACTCGCCGCCCTCGATCCACAGAGAGCAGACCAGGGCCCCGGCCACCTCCCCATCCGCACTTCCCTCGCTCTGACTCAGCGCGAGACATAGAAAGCTGTTTCCCGAAGAGCACCCTCAGGTAACAATGTCATTGGCTAAAGAGAAGTGCCAGTTTTCTCAATGAAGTAGGTTATTTAAGATGCACGAATACACATCTTTCCCAAGTATATATGTTTCATAAGCCCCCCCCCCCCTTTTTTTGGCTTGGAACCCAAAACACGTGACCTGGAAACATTTTTGTCTTAAATTGGCCCTTATGTTAAAAAAAAAAAAAAATAGGCATCTCCCCATTCCTGTAAGAGCAGCGGTTTTCAGCAGCTGATGGGACACTTGGGAATGTCCCGGGACATGTTGCAGTGACATGACGGGTTGCTAGGAAGCAGCTGGCGTCGAGTGGGAAGCGGCCAGGGATGCTGCTCACCATCCCACAGGGCACAGGCCAGTTCCCGACAACAGAGCGATGGGGCTCCCAGGGCCGGTAGCGCGGAGGCTGGGAAATCCTGCTCCGGGAGCGTCCACACTGTGTGTCTCGGGCGAGTGACGGGGAGGGCTGCGGTCTGGCCCTCCGGAGAGTTGGTTTTATTGATCTGTGTCTTGGCCTCAAGCCTTCGCGTCACGCCGAGCGGAAAGGCAGCCTCTGGGGTTCGCGTGACTGTCTCTTCGACGTCACTGGTGTCCAGGACGTCGCTGGAGCCCCCGCCCTCCCCCTCCAAGGGTCTCCCAGGAGCCCGGTTCTCTCGGACCCAGTGTCAGAGAATGCTGAGCTGCTCCTGGGGCCGTCTCGAGTCTCACAAGAAGCAGGTTTCCCTTTTCGCTTTGACTGACAGGAAGCTCCGAGCCCAAGAGAATCATCGAGGCCCACCCCGTACCAGTTCTCTTCGTTCTCTGCTTGTTAGCTGCAGCCTCATTCTCCCTCTGATCTATTTTTATCCTATTGTGACCTACCCCGTTTTGTAAGCGCCTCTAATCCTTTCTGGAACAAAGCGGGGCATCAAATCAAAACAAGCTTCAGCGGAGCCCTGTGGCCTTGAGGGTACATCTGAAGCTGGCAAAGTCATTTCAGGGTTGGAGCCCTGCCGAAGGGAAGGCCGCTCTCCGGGCCCCTCCTGGCCCCTCCTGGGAGTCTCATCTCAAACAACAACAGCTCAGTGAGTTAGAGCAACAGGTTTCAGAGGCAGCGCCACCAACACCCATCTGCCTGCAAATACCTTCCCTCTCCCCAAAATGTTCCTTCCAGCCTCCCATCTGGCTGCTGGCAGGCGGCCCCGGGGCCCAGAGGAGACTGCAAAGGGGAAGCAGACAGACAAGGCCCTGTTTTCATTCCTCACTGTCCGCTCCTGCACCTTCTGTGGGAGTCGGGCCTTTTGGGAAGCTGTGTGTGAAGGCTGAGTGAGCCAGGGAGGGGTGGGGAGAGCAGCAAACACCTGAAAAGGT